TGTAGTGCCATCCAAACATATCATACAGATAATAGTGGATCTCTTACCACTTCTTCCAACACCAATCTTAATCCTTTCAACGTCAACATTTTTTTGAACAAGCACTCTGACGGTTTTCTTGTGGCAAAAGTCTTGAAAACCAACTTCATCAATGTTAAAGACAAGACCACTATTTATACCATTAAAGTCTGCCATCTCCATGTAATTCGTTATGATGTCCTCGGGGTTTATTGATAATCTTTCGATGTCTTCCGGTTTCCCTTTGATTGTTTTGAGGTCAAACGTTTTGAGAACCCATTTTCTCACCATATCTGGTTTAAACGTTGTTCCAGTTGTTCTTTCAACCAGTTTAGAGAATGCTGCATATGTCAAGGCTATTTTTGATTATTGCAATATTTAAAAAATGTGTCAGCTACAAATTTGGTTCTTTTGTCAAAGAATGTAGGTCTTCTTATTGTTGTCCTTCTTACAGTTGTTTGTTCTTTCTTGTATTCGGTAATTTCCTTTTGAATGATACTTGGATGCGAATTGAACAAAATTCCAACTGATCTATAGGTGACTAAAGACTCTACTCTTAGAATAAAAAAGACTGTTGCTATTTGCTCCCTTCGGGTTTCAAAGCGAAAAAAAACAATTCATCAAATACAAAGAATTGTAATATCTGTTGTGCATTCAAAACGTCTTTTAAAGAGAATTTTTTGATTGATTGACTTCTTTTAAATGTTCTTTCACGCTTTCAACATTATGTATCATTTCTTCATAGTTCATAAGTCCTCTAATGAATTTTTTGCTTTTACCAGAGCCCAAATCTTCTGGGAATTGCTCCAGAAAGCGACAAGAAAGAATGTCCGCGAGATTCAGAGGCATAACAACATGAACATCATTTGGGGTGAGAGGATTGACAGGTAGTGTTGGTTCAATTTCCATGTAATAAAAAGGTTTTTACAAATTTTTATTTTTTTGTTATTTTGTTTTATAAAACATTAATTTTTGTCACCGACTTTATCCTTGTCACCTCTTTTTTCTTCTATCTGTAATTTGCTGGACGAAAATTTTATGGACTAATTGTACAATTGAAAAAAGTTGATTTTATTGATTTTTTTAATATTTTTTTTGTTTTTTCGTTTTTTTCATTTTTTTCGTTTTTAAAATAACTCGTCTTTCTCGATTTATAACTTTTTCGTCTTTTTTTCGTTTTTGTGTTATTTTACATTTTTCTTGTTATTTACTTGTGATTTTATTTTGAATAACATGTGTGTGTCTGTTTGTTTACTTATTTTTGAAATTTATTTAGTTAATTAAATTAAAATAAATACTTATCTTTTTATGGAATTAAACTATAATAAAACGATAGTTGATAAAAATATTAACTATCGTTTTTTAAACAGAATCACAATTTATTATTATATTTAGTAAAATTAACCATTAATATAGTAGACACTTAATAGTATAAAACTAATAAGAATAGTAATTGTAAATAAATAAATATACCGATTTTGCTCTTATATATTAGGGGAAATATAAGGGGATATAAGGGATTATAAGATTTATAAAAATCATTTATCATTATTTATGTGTTATTTTTGTTAAACTTTTTAATGGCAACATATAAATAAACAATATTTAGTTAAAAAAATAAAAATTATCAAAAACAAATAATGAGTTTGCTTATAGTCATATTGATAGTTAAATAATTATTTAGCAATTATAACAATATCTATGTATTTTTTTATTTATTATTTTAATAGTTAAAAAAATTACATTTATAATTCTGTGGTTTTAAGTTTAATTACATATTTTGAATAATTTTTAATAGAAATTAAAATCATTTAAGTAAGTTTTAATATTTTATTTTTTGTTTTTAATTGAAAAAAATTATTATGAATGAGGTAATGATCATTTTAAATGAGATTTATAGAAAATTAAATATAAAAACAAATAAACTCCATTAACATACAATGGAAAACGGGTTAACAGCACTCTCAGCACTCTGCACTAACGCAGCAAAGGCGGTGTCAGACCTCAACAAAAATAAAAGGGAATACAACTTTGTTGACGACAAGTCACTTAACATTAATCAACGCATCGAAAATGCAGAGGGACACTTCGACAGACTTGATGCTATATTTGATCGAAAGAAGAACATCACAACATCACTCAACGCCATCGTCACTGATTTGGATAACGCGTCAAACAAAATCAAAAGCGAGATAAGTCTGTATTCAACACAGAGCGACAACGACAAGTTGTATGAGATATTCAGCATCAAGATAGCACTTTATGAGGAGAAGTGCCAATGGGACATAAAACCACTTGAAGATGAAATTGACAAAATCAAACAAGCAAAAAACACTAAAATTGATCAAATTATGAAATCGGGTAAATTCATTAATTCAAAGAAACAACACGATGAACAAGAAGCCGAGAGAATAAAGAGAGAACACATCACACTTGAAGAGAAAGAAGGTCTTGAGAAGTTGACAGGAATGAAAATAAAAAGTGTTGTGTTTGGCGCAGACATAGACAACTGGTCGCAAAATACCTCGGTGTTTAATGCAAAAATCATCAACAAAAGCAATTTGTGCTTTTTGGTAGAAGACGCCAATCACAACAAGTTTGGTGGTGTGTACACTGGTAATATAAATGCTGTTAGCAAATATATCAACAGTGGCAGTTCTTACATCTTTTCACTTGTGAGAAATGGCATTCTGAATCCAAAAAAGTTTGGTAAGAGTGGAAATAACACGAATTTTGAATTTTGGATGAATTCTCAAGACAGTTCAAGTCTCTTTGGATTTAATGGTGATATATGTGTGTACAAGAAAGGTGTTGATGGTAGTCATTACAGCCCATCCACTTACACCGCCAAACGAAATGAGTTGACTGATAATGACAATTACACACCAAAGAGTGTTGTTGTCTTCCAACTTAACTGACTTTTTGTCATTTTTTTATGTTTTTATTTCAAACATTGCAACACATTGACTCCATAAGTGTCATTTTTGTAATTTGCCACGTCACCACAACATGAATTAATGTACACAAGTTTCAACAAAATCTGTCCTATTTGAAGGGCCGGACAGACGGAAAGAAAACGGGTTTCACCCTTCAAACCTAACACTGGAACGAACACTCGATTAGGATATCTTTGATGTTTCTTTTTTAGGCATCTCCTCTTTGTGTCTTGTATCTTCCGGAGATGGATTCACGACGCCGCAACTCGCCGGGTTCAACAAGTTTCGACAGTTGCGGCATATCTACTCTTTGTGTCCCGTTGTATCTTTCTGAAGTATATTAATTGGAAAGTAGTTTGGTATTTTTATTTATTATGGGTTTTCTCAAACTACAAACTATAGTAATTAACTATTAGAATCATATTAAAGTTAATATTTTCATCTAAAAACAAATAGCACAAATGTTGATATAATTAATTATAATTTAATAATTTAGTAACACAATTGATTTTTTAAAACAAAAAACTAAGAAAAAATCAATAGACATAATTAGAATATTACAATTGACAGTATATTAGTATATAGTAAATTGACTATTTTAAATAAATAAAAACATCAGTGATGTTGTGAAATGAATCGCTACTTTTAAATGTATTTTTGCGTTCTACAAATAAAGTTAATATGATTTAATCAATTTGTATCTATTTTGATTCGAAATTCTAATTCCTTATTAAAAATGGAACATCACAATCTTTTTTTTTGTCATTGGAAATATCCATCACTCAATGAAAATTGTTTGCAAAGGCATCTTTCAAAGACTCGAGGCATCTAGTCGAAATTAAACGATAAAAATAATAAAAATATCATATTTTTGATAACTAGACTCTTGTATTTCAACTGGATTTTAATTAAAAAAACTATAAAACGATGTAATAATTGTTTATCCTTGTCTTTTTGTGTTTTACTTGAACCGAATTGTTCTTAGTCTTCAAAAGTAATTGCACTCACCCGATCAACTTCATGTTGTTTGTTGTCAGATCTTCACCAAATGTTCTGACCTGTCTTCCAACTCGGCAATTCTCAATTTTCCATCTTTTTGTTGAGCCTTCTCAAGTTCCTTCTGTGAACCAGCTTTTTGAGCAGTCAATGAGTTAATAAATTCATCAGCCCGTTCCTTATATTCACCAAATTCGTATTCGTTCTTTATCATTTCTCTGAGTTTGTCTGCATATTTCTTTTTCTGTGCTTTAGCCTGTTGAGCAGTTGTTCTTTCAAGATCAAGTTGCTCATTCAATTCAGTCAATTTCTTCTCATAAGTGTTCTTCTATTGTTTATAAGTCTTAGCAGCTTGTTCAAGGGCTTCCAATTCAGTCTTCATCTCAGACATATCATCTTCAAGTTTGTCGCATTAGTCTTGTTTCTCGTCGAGTTCTGTCTTTGTTCTCATCATTTTTTTCAGAAGCAGCCTTATAATTTCTCATAGTCTTGACCTTGTTCAACCATCTGGACGTTCTTCTCAAGGGTTTCGGCTCTGACTGTGATTTCAGCTATATCTTTCTCGTACTATTTTTTTAATCAATTGGGTCTTAATGTGTTTTTTCTATTCTTGATCAAGTTCAGTTCTAATGCTCTTCAGTTCGTCTTGGTATTTCTATTTCATCGCTTCATTGCCATCTTTGTCATCATTTGCAGTGTCAAGTTGTCTCTGTGCCATGTCAACTTTAGCATTCAATTCTTTGACCATATTGTCCATTTCCTCCAAATCATTAATATTCTTCTTCTTCTTCTCATCTGTGAGTTGATCAACTGAAATTGTCAAGTCATTCGCTTTTTAGTCAATTTTTCTTTAGTGTTATTTGCTTCATCTAAGTTGAACTGAACTTCCTGTAATTTGCTCTCAGCAGCCTTTCGTACAGCATCTGCACTGTCAGGTTTCTGTCTTTCTTCATCAAGTTGGGCTCGAACTTCAGCAATTTTCGCATTCAACATGTTCTTCTCTTCTTCTTGAACAACAGAAGCCGGTGCACTGACTTGGACTTTAAGTGACTAGACTTGTGCATTGAGTGCTTTGGCTTGGTCTTCCATATTCTTTTCTTCTATTAAGTTGGTCCGCTGCAGTCTTCTCAGCCTCCGCTTTGTCGTCCAAAGCCATCTTCTTTTGTGCTTCAAGTGCCTTAATCTGTGATCCATAATTCTCAATCTCCAAAGCGTCTTCAATTGCTTCTTCATATCCTTCTTAGCAGCATCAAGTTGAGTGTTCTGTTCTTTCAACACAGCAACTGCCTTTTCCAAATCAACTATTTGGTTGTCTCTCTTGATGACTTCAGTTTTATCAATATTTGAAGTCCCAACTGGTCTATATTCAAGGTCTTGTACTTGTTGTTCCAAATCGGCTATATTTCTTCTTGTCTTTGGCTGTTCTGTCTCTTAATTCAGTCAACTCGGTGTTGTTTGCTTCTAAAATTTTACAAAAGTCTCTTTGTAACTTTTTGATTGAACCATTCAAGTTGTTGGTCTCATCTTCGTGTACTGAGACCAAGTTAATGAGTTGGTCATATTCGTATTGAAGCTTCTTCTTTTCAGAAGAAAGTTGGTCTTTGTCATTCGCTAAGTTCTTCACCTCTTCTTTAATTTCGTCGTTTTCTGTTTTCAACTTCTTCGCCTCTTTTTCTTTCGCAAAATCAAATTTTATAGACTCTAAATATTGACAAGTATCATTTTTGGTTAAGACATATTCTGTTTCTTCCATAATATTTGGTGGACACGTTGATAACGCCAATATGATCAACACAAATACATATAACAAATTGATCATATATAATTGTATTTTAGAGATATTGATAAAATTCTTAAATAAATGAGTTGGATGCTTTCGTTGTCATTTCTTTACCACAATTCCTTAAATTTTATTACACTGTCTGTCTTAAATTTTATCTGGTCTCTAATGTTATCTGGTATTTTTTGGACCAATGAAATTGGAATATTTTGTGAAGCCCTCTTTATAATTTGTCCCAATTGTTTCAAGTTTTTTCATATTTTACCTTATGCCCGATGTTTACTTATGAATAAAGCTTTTTTTGTTTTCAAAATAACATTTTAAAACCGACTTTAATTGAATCATCCACTCAATCATAATTCTTCAAATTTAAAACCACAATTAAACTTGATAGAGTCAGTTACTAAACGTTGTTTGGTCTGTAATGTTGTCTGCCGATTTTTAAAGCATTATGATTATAAACCTTATTTCATAAAACGGACCACTAAAAATGGTCCGATTAAATATTTTTATAACAACACATACAATTTTTATTTATATTAAAGCTGTATTTTTTTCTTGTTATTTTTTCAAATTATTATATTTTAAAATAGTAACAAAAATGTATTTAAAACCCGTGAGCATTGTTCATTAGCCTGGAAATAGACACATATTTGTTTTTTTCTGGACATAAGTAATCTTTTTGGATAACTTTCAACAAGACGATTAATTGTTGCTTGTGATATTTTGTCCCATGATTCTTTCAACTTGTCAAAAATTTCCATTTTTGAATCTCCCATTGATATTATGGTGTTTTTTTTCATTATTCCCCAAAGATGTTCAATGGGATTCAAATCACAAGAGTTGCCAGGCCAACCATCAAGTACAAAAATACCTTTTGAATATAGAAACTTGAGAGTGTTTTTGGCTCGATGTGCTGGTGCGCCGTCTTGCATGAAACGGAAGTGTTTTCTATATTTTTTTAATTCAATTAAAACACCCGAATCATAAAGCATGTGGACATAACTATCCTGGTTTAAAATTTCTTCACATAAACCAAACTACTTTTAAAGTTGTACCCAATGGCACCAAAAACCATGACAGATGAACTGTGTTTGACCGCTATAAAATATGTATTTTTTGACAAATTATTTTTATTTATCCAAAGACGTTTCCCCATCTTTGCAATAACAAAACCGACTTTCATCGGAAAATACAGTTGTAATTTTAGTTTTTCTTGTTTTTCCGACATTTTTAAAATTTAAAGAACTGAACAAAGATATTTCTTTGTTGACAAATATTTTTCTGTCTCTTGTGTTTTTGTGTGATAAAAATTGTTCAACTTTTGTTTTTTAAAACAAAAGTTTTGTTGTTTTCTTATTCTAAAAACAGATGATTTGGATATTGGATTTATATAATACCGACTTATTGCTTTTGCACATTTCTTACAACTTTCTTCTGGAAATTTATTTGTTCTTTTTATTATATGTTTTTCCATTAACTTAGATTTATTTGGTCTTCCTTTTTTCATGATTTGAATGTCTGGATAAATTTTCATTGAGCGCATTAAACGAGTTTTACCAGGTGATTCCATATTATTTTCACGAAACATTTTTATTATTTCTGTCGAACTTCTTATACCATTGTCCATACATTTTTTAATATTTAACTCTTTTGATTGTTTTTTATCCAATTGAATTCTAGGAGGAAGTATTCGAAAAAAATTGGAAGACTGATTACCCAACATCAACATTTTTTTTCAAGTATCTCCATTCTTTTTGTTAATTTTTCAATTGTAAGTTCTTGTTTAGATTTAATTGAATATCCAAAAGGCAAAGAAAATGTTATTTTAGTTGAAGTTTGACCAACTAACACTTCAACATCTAGCTGTTTAATAGAAACTGGCTCCATAGACATTGTTTCTAATAATTTGATTTTTTTCTTCATCGAATTGATTGTCAAACACCTGTACGAATAAATCGTCTTGAAAAATTTGAGATATAAAACATAGCGGAAGCTGATTTATATTAATTGATAATCCTTTTTCTGTCATTTCTACAACCTCGGTTACAGTAAAAGGTTCCATTTGATATTTATCAGTTATATTACGATAACAAATTGATTAAATCAATAACATTGTCTGAAATGTTTTTGTGATAAAAAAGAAAATCTTTGTTGTAAATTTTCAAATTTGAATTTATTTTTGGTCATTTTCAATGTTTTAATGGAGTTTGATGTTTAAGTTGTAGTTTAATTATTATTATTTTCCCATTTCTTCTTTTAAATTATTAAATAATTACATACTTTATTATTAGTTATTTTTTTACAGTGTTATTCACTGGGTTTTCGATTCCCACCATTTTCAATAATCATTAAGTCAGTTTATTAATTATTTAGTCAAAAAAATAAATTATTTCGTCACATATTTTAATTAAACACCACCTACAATTATTAGTCCAGCATAAATGATAAATAGATTATTCAAAAAAATATTAATACCATCACAATAATTTCAATATTATAATTTTTATATTTCATTCACAAAAATAAATAGACGCACCACAAACTTATATGTTCACGTAGTAGTATGTAAATTTGGTTACCTCGTCGCTCGGGACCTCTCCCTCCGGTCGGGTCAACCTCGCTGGGGGACCCTGCGGCTCCCCTTCGTCCACCGAATTTACTTTATTAAAGTACTCCGGGTTCGCGTTTTCAACGCTCTCATCCTCCGTACTTTTTTCTACCTTATATATATTAATAAATAAAACTCCCACTTGAAAAAAAAGAACAGGGTAACTATTGAAAAAATAGTACGGCACTTTTGTCTTTTTAGAAAATTTAAAATTATTTTAGGAACGCTTTTTGTACTTTTTATTTTTTTATTTTATCAAAATGCAAACCAAAGTTGTACAGAACGAAGCTCCTCAGACTTGTACGGTGCAAAGCACCTCAGGTTCTCAGATCTGTAAAGTCGTATATGGGGATGAAAAAGATATTAAACTTTTTGAAGAAGATGATTTAATATCTCATTTTAAAAATTAAATTCTAACTACTTGTAAACATATTATTAAAATAAATGATCATGATGTAGATTTATATTATAATGAAGTATCCAAAGAAATATTTATCTCAAAACCAACTGGTTTAAAAAGTATTAAACCAAGTTGTGCTAAAAAAGATAAATGATGGAAGTCTTATAAAATTAAAGTTAAATGTGAACCTTATGAGGTTATTCCAAAAGATGAAAATAAACCAAAGCGAACTGTGAAAACTAAAACAATTTCATTTAGTACTAGTTTATTTGATAATTCATCTGACCAAACAATAGCTGAATGGCTCGAAGTTAAACACACGTCATCTCATGAGACAGAAGAAAAATAAATTGTTTATTGTACACTATATTGAATAAAATGTTATCTAGAGTAACATCATTAATATTGTTATTATGTATATAATATTTTAATAATGGTAATACAAATCCTTTTATTACTCTTTCAATATTATCTTCCAATTTATTAAAACGTTCAGATAAAACATTATATTCTTCTATACTAATTGATGAATTATTATTTTTTGTTTCATTTTCCAATTCTGTTAATTTATCCGAATATTTACTCTTAACTGATTCTATTTCTTCATTAAGCTTTGTTCCGACTACATCGTTTTCACCTATTCTTACTCTCTTTTTAATAATTTCTAGTTTACTTTTATTTTTACAAAATACATAACCCTTAATGTAAATACTTGCATTTAAATCTTTATATCAATTTTGTTTACTTCTGGATGTTTTAAAATATATCGATTAATTTCTTTATTACATCTTCTGACTTCTTCAGCTTCATTCATGTCATATCTTTTAGTTATATTATATATTTCTTTTATTAATTTATCATTAATATAATCATTTGGTATTGTATCATCTACTTTACTTTGAATAGTGTTGTCTTCGCATTCGTTGGATGTGTCACTGCTTTGTGTGTTTTTTGTTGTGTTAAAATATTTATTCATGTTATTTATTAAGTTCATTTTATTGACAGAAAAATACCAAAAATAACATGTTGGGATTTGTATGGTCCATTATATGGGATAAGTGTGGAATTATGTGGGAAATAAATGTATAAACATGTTAAAAATATGTATAAACTATGTTTAATATTAAACTTAACATGATTTCAACTTAATGGGACATATATGTCAATATTATGCTAAATGCAAGTATTATGTAAAACATATTAACATATTTGTTGGAATTTTGTTAATTCTTTTCTTAGTAATTTTATAATTATTAGGTAACAATTTGACAATATCCGTTGTTTTAGCTGTCTTATTTATATTTAATTCTAAATATATTTCTTGTAATATATCTTTCGCTTCTTTAACTGTATTATCTTTAGTAATTCTTTGTTTAATTAAATCTTCGGCATTATTTGAAATTATATTATTATATAATACTTCCTTTTTCATTTTACGTTCTCCTAATTTTTCATAATATTGTTTTATAGATGGATATGTATTGTTAATAATTTCTAAATCAAATTTGTTCTTAATTGGATCTTTAATTAAATTAATGAATAATTCAGCATAATTTATATATGTTACACGAGTATTTATTAATTTGGATTTATCTTCTTCATGATTTTTAAATATATTATTAATATTATTATCAACTTCAGTTTTAGATTTATACATTTTTTCTAACATTTCTTTATTTAATTTATAACAACAAATTGCTAAATTATTTAATTTAAATATTTCATTATCCAAATAAATATAATTTTTAAATATATCATGTTCTTCTCGATATGCATTTTGCCCCGTAATCTTTGTCATGATTTCTTTATTAATATCTTCTTTAACTTCCAAATCTAATCTATTGTAATTTTCAATAAACTTCTCAGCTTTAATCAAATCCTTGTCTAAATTATCTTTCTTTTCTGTTAAAGATGTCGTGTAAATAAATGTTAATTCATTTTTAAAAGGATTACAATCTAAAC